GCAGAGCCGGGCCCGTGGCGCCCTCTGGTGGGCTGGAGGAGCGGAAGCGGCGCGCGCGGCCGCCCCTCCCCCCCCACGGCCGCGGCTTTGGGCCTAGGAGCGCTGGGTGGCCGGGGACGCGGCTGGACATGTTGGCAAACACCTCGAAATGCGTGGCTTTGTCTTAAGAAAACACGCAAAAGTCAGTTTCTTGACGATGCGGAGGCGTCTGCAGCGTGCAAGATTTGAACCCTGATTCATAACTGCATTTGACAACTCTTCCCCCACTATGAAAAGGAACATGATGAGAGGTCCTGAGAGTTCATAGGGAAAACTTGATGGAGGTTGGCCCAGGGCACATGCGCCCTTCCCTAAGAGTACTGTCATCTTCCTTCATCAGGGACTTGCAAAGAGCGCCCAGGAGCAGTACATCTACTAAGTACTAAAAACCCCGGCCCCCATTGCCCTCCACAAAAGACATTCACCCCTTTGGCTTTAGAGGAAGAAAAATATGTATAGTCCCTTTGCAGAGAAATCACTGACCTCAAAATAACCCAGTAAACTCTGGACTTTATTTCCAAGAAAAAGACATCTCACACCTCACACGTGTGCACACAATTTCCCACATACTTCCACAGAGTCAGGAGCACCAATGAAGTCCTGGGCAACTTTAAGAGGGAATATCCTAGATCCGAGGACAGGAAAATGAACTTTATTTTAGGACCCGCTGTGTGCCGGGGCTTTGTCATTAAGTGCTTTCCAACCCATAAAACCTAGAGGCTTTCAACAAGTTCAGAGTGGCTATTAGTGTCCCCTGCTACAGCTGGGAAAACTGAGATGAACTATTCCGCCCAAAGTTACCCTTGCTTTTGACACAAAAAAGAACATAATATCATCCTTTGGCCACTCAAAAAGTAATCATGTATTCAGGAACCAAGGGCCAGAGGGAATCCGAAGGATGAGTAAAGACGTTTTTTTGTTGTTTGTTTTGTTAAGTTGTTTGTTTCAGATAAGGTACTTCTACAAAGTTCCTAACTAACCGTCCTGGAACTCACTAGATAGACCAGGCTGGCCTTGAACTCATAAATCTGCCTGCCTCTCCCTCCCGAATGGTGGTATTAAAGACTTGCACCATCACACCCAGCTAGCAAGGACATTTTTATTCAAAAAAAAAAAACTCTTTCTATCTGGGTGGTGGTAGCACACACCTTTAATCCCAGCACTCAGGAGGCAGAGGCAGGCGGATCTCTGTGAGTTATAGGCCAGCCTGGTCTGAGTACCAGCCAGACTGTTACATAGAGAAACCCTGTATCAAAACAAAAACCACCAAAGAATATTGGATTTTAGCAGGGCATTGGTGGTGCAGGCCTTTAATCCCAGCACGGGAGGAAGAGTCAGGTGGATCTCTGTGAGTTTGAGGCCAGCCTGGTCTACAGAGCAAGTGCCAGGATAGGCTCCAAAGCTACACAGAGAAACCCTGTCTTGAAAAACCAAAAAAAAAAGAAGTTTATGGAACATTTATATAAAATTGGGAACATACTCTGTAGGAAGAAAATATAGTTGGTTCTCAGTAATGACATGTACACAGAAAAACCCTGTCTCAAAAAACAAAAACAAAAAAAAAAATGGATTTTACTTCAAAAATTTGTTTCAAGTACAAAGCCTATTCTTATGTTTATGATTAAAGTGAGTAAGATCGGGCACCAAAGGTGAAGGACTTTTAGTAAAATGTCAAGTCTCAGGGCAGAGGTCTTACAAAGGGAATGAGAGAAGCCGAGGAAGGCTTTTTATTAAAGAAAATCAGTCAGTTAAACCAATGGCCTAGGTTTATATATAAATTGTAACAGCAGTTGCCTACACTGATGATACAATTTATATATAAGGTTTTGAAAAAGGAATTAGACCCGGAGCCATATCCTGAGAGGAAGAGAGTGTAAACACTGGTTTCCCTGGCCCATGTACAACCCTGGGAAATCATTACACCTGTCTCAGATTCCCTCCTTAAGACAGCCTAATACCACCTGCCTAACAAGTTTGTCACACACACACACACACACACACACACACACACACACACACAGGTTAAAAAAAATTGGAAGCATTAGAAAATGTCTGGTACAGTCGAGGGTTGAAGGCGCAGGTGGTGGCACACACCTTTAGGTACACACCTTTAGTCCCATCACTCAGGAGTTCTCTGTGAGTTCAAGGCCAGCCTGGTCTACAGAGTGCTAGGACAGGCTCCAAAGCTATTATACAGAGAAGCCTTGTCTCAGAAAAACAAAACCAAAAAGGAAGGAAGGAAAAGAAAGAATGAATGAATGTCTGGTACAATGTAGGTTCCTTTTCTGTGATCTCATTAAGGGATGGGGTCAGGGCTTCTAACAGTATCTTCATGGTACAGGAAGTTTGTTTTTCAAAACAGAGTTTCTCAGTGTAGCCCTGGCTATCCTGGGACTGACTCTGTAGACCAGGCTGGCCTCATACTCAGAGATCTGCCTGCTTATGCCTTCCGAGTGCTGGAATTAAAGGCGTGTACCACCACCTAAGGCTGGGAAATTTTGATTAGCTCCTGTGAGATCATCTTCTCTGCAGGAGTCCCCAGTTAAATGATAAAATCTCCTTAGTGGGGGAAGAGTAATGCTAACCTTGAGTCAATTTACCAGACTGGCTTTCACCGGCTCCTGAATAAACAGAACATACCAAACTGATTATGTCTAATCACTGGGAAGAAGAAAGGCAAGTCTGGAGTGGGTGATAGTATTTCAAGGCTCGGAGAGGGGGAACACTATACGGTTTAGGTTCTAGCTTAAGCTCTGCCACTGGAGCTTATCAACAGCATCTATTGAGGGCTAGCCAATGCTCGGGGGAGAAAGGCTTACAGTTCACTTTCCCTTGGAGTTTATAGACTAGTTAAGGAAATTGAGACCATGCAAATAGTTATTCAAAGTGATTCAGTTATAGCTGTGCAAAGTACAATGAGGAAGTACAGGCAAATGACCTCTTCAGAAGAGCATGCAGTTGTCACTGGGAGATGAGTTTAGCCCAGACTTGAAGGACAATGAGTTATTGGCCAGACAGGGAAGGAAGCTAGCAAGAGGACAGAATGTGCAAAGACCCTAAATGAGGAAGAGGCTGGGACTGGTAAAGACTGATAGGTTGCTGGGCAGTGGTGGCGCACGCCTTTAATTCCAGCACTCGGGAGGCAGAGGCAGGTGGATCTCTGTGAGTTCGAGACCAGCCTGATCTACAAGAGCTAGTTCCAGGACAACCTCCAAAGCCACAGAGAAACCCTGTCTGGAAAAACCAAAAAAAAAAAAAAAAAAAAAAAGACTGATAGGTTGCCATGGCTGGCAAATAGTGAGAGAGAGGGTGGTACTGGATGAGACTGGAGGATTAAGCAGAAAAGACATAAGGACTTCATTCTTTCGTTTGCTTTTTGTTTTTTTTTGTTTTTTCTTTCTTTATTTTTTATATATTTGAATTACAAACAAGATTGAATTAAAGGTATGGAACGCCTCACGAATTTGCGTGCCGTCCTTGCGCAGGGGCCATGCTAATCTTCTCTGTATCGTTCCAATTTTAGTATATGTATTGCCGAAGCAAGCACGGCTTTTGTTTTTTTTTTTCAAGGCAGGGTCTCTTTATGTAGTCCTGGCTGTCCTGGAACTAGCTCTCTAGACCAGGCTGGCCTTGAACTCAGAGATATGTGACTGCCTCTGCCTCCCGAGTGCTGGGATTAAAGGAGTGTGCCACCACCGC